CTCTCTCTCTCTCTCTCTCTCTCTCTCACACACACACACACACACATACACACACACACACACACACACACACACACGCACACAGGCACACACACACAGGCACACAGGCACACACACACACCAGATGATTTGTGGAGGGAATAAGAGAGAGAATTTGGGGTTTTTTAAAACACACACACACACACACACGCACATACACACGCCTAGACGTGTAACCGAACAGCCCTTGCAGGGCAATAATGGATGTACCGCAGGGCTCGATGCTTAACTGTGGCCAAACGGCCGTGATCACACAGTAGGGGCTCGGCCGGCGGAGCATAAGCACACGCTACGGAACATAACCGCAAACGAGCAAAAAGACAGTAAACACCATATCCCCACGAACACTGTGAACATTACTCCATTGCACGACATCAACTGCGGCTATGGAAACCCGTCATGGCATACGAGTACATGCACCCTCTATGACTGCGCATCCCAACAAACTGTGAGGCCGTTCAGCTGGATGGACCTGGGTTCGCCGCTCAACACATGCGCTGGCGAGGGGTTCAACTGCAGTGTATCTTCCCATATTTAGCAGGACTATTCATTCTCATTTTCCACTAGCGCCGGAGTGAGAGACAGAGGGAGGCCCAAAATGTTCGCCCCACACAGGTCGCTCCAAGGCCGCACACCGTCACACTGGATCGGGCACAACTTTATCCTCTTGCTAGTGGGACCTCGATCCAGAATTCTCATCATTGCAGGGCCCTCGTCAGGTGTTTCAATTTTTTTTCAAAAAGCCTCGAATGCTGTGGCAACCATAGGCAGTCCCCACACATACCAGAATTCTCATCATTGCAGGGCCCTAGTCAGGTGTTTCAAATTTATATTTTTTTTCTAATTAAAAGGCTACCTTTGCCACTTGGAAAATAGCGGGCCTCCGGTGGGCCTCCGACCGTTTCGGAGGCTGAAACGAAACGACGGCCGCCGATCAGATTTATCAATGGCAGTCGTCGTCGGGCCCGACCTCCGAAGATTCAGGAGTTTGGGAAAACAGCCAGTTTTCCCTATTTTCCCACGCGGGAAAGGTACTAGTGGTTTAAGCCCAACCAATTCAATTACCTGTCAAATCTGGACAGGACGGCCTTTCAGGCCTTTTTTTATTGCCATATAGTATTACGGGGAACCCCGTAGCAGCCACATCCATGTTCAAGCCTCCAACGAGGGAACATGCGGGAGCTGCACCCACCAGCAGGTGTGATACCCGCTACGGCAGGTGGGCGATACCGGCCAGGGGTCAGCTGGTAGCATCAGGACCGAGCTTCTGCGATGGGCCAGTCATTGTGCCTCCCCTCCGGTCCCCTCCCCCTATGAACATCAGCAGTCTCTGCTCAATGCCACTCGGGGGGACCAACGGCATATCTCTAGGTGGCGGGCGCCAAGCTTGCCCAGGAAGGTACATGAGGCCAATGGGGATTGAACCCAAGACCTCCCGAATGCCACTTGCGTGCCTTACCAACTGAGCTAGGCCACTGGTTACAAAAAGCCTCGAATGCTGTCGCGCCCCGCCGCACCCTGCCGCACCGGTCCCGGAATGAAAAGCAAACCCGTGCTAGTGGGACTTGGCCCCCCGGGACTCGCGACAAACAGGACTGGGGACCTTTACCCTGAATCGGTGTTGGCGTTGGAAGAACTACAGCTGCAGAAATGGCCAGCTCCAGACCGCTGCACTGAGCTTCCATCCCAGAAAAAAAGGAGAAAAAACAAGAAAAAAAAACTTCCTCCCGACATAAAATCCAAACAATACCAAAAATAGCACCCAGCCTCAATCCTACCAACTAACCCAGAAAACTATAAAGCCTAACAGCTATGTATTAACAAAAACAATCCAAAAACCTAGCCATTCACGACTACTTCTACTCAACAAGCGATCTAAGACGACCGCTAGGAACCCCCCGGATCCTCACAAAGAATACATCCAGCTCCCCTCTTGGCCTTTCCCTCTGCCTGTCTACATGCGACCGAAACATAACAGAGCGAACCAGGTTAGTGGCTGTACCATGCTTCTCACATTTCTTCCTTATACAACCAATCTTGCAGTGATGGTCTTTCATAACACTCTATCGATGCTATTGCATTTTGAAGGCACCAAGTTTCACGTAACCATTCCAAGCCGCACACGCCTGTGGTCGAGGTAGTCACCTTTCTCCGCCAGTCCGCCAAAATTGCAGTCCTGAGACATCTCAGGAAGGTAGATCTTACTTGTTTGTTAGGCCAGTCCTTGTTCTCAAACACTCTATCATTCCGTTCTCACCAAATAATCGAGATGCCCACTGCCCGTATGGTCTGGGCTACATAGCCCCAGCCCTTGGCAATAAAAAAACTATCTGGGATCCCTCCCAACAGAACCCACAGCCTGGACCACGGGAAGGCGGGTCCCGAAACTTTGTCCCAGACAGAGGCAATCCATTTCCACAATCTCGAGGATCTGGGGCAGTCCCACCAAAGATGAACGGTGGATTCAAAGGCCCAGCCACATCTCATGCAGGTTAGTTCGATGTTGAGTTCATGCTCCGCGAGCCATACTGCCGACGGTGTTGCCAAAAGGGACAGCAGCCACAAAGTGGCCGCCTGACGTTGACAGGCAATCGTTTCAGTTGTACCAAACATTTTCCCAGGGCTTTTCCCACTTCTTTTCCCTCTATGTTCAGCAGTCTGGCCCAACGAGACTTGGCGGTCACTTCAGGGATCTTCGTTGGAATAACCAGGTGGTATCCGAGTCTTTGATGGTAGTTAATCAGACTCAGATTTTCCCCCTGCTTTCCTTAGGCTCTCCATGCCCATTGATTCGGGTCTATACGCACCTGTGATACCGGCTTGCCATTGTAAAAAAACACAATTGATGTTCTTCCAGTTGTGTCAGGGTTCTTAAAGACCCTTATCAGTATAAGTTTCATACCCACTGGGGGGGAAACGTTTTCTTCCGAGTCTTCTGGACCCGAAATGTCCTTGCTCAACCAGCTCTGGAAGATTCTTTTGCCATCTGCCTGTGTTTGTACTAGCTTCCAAACCCGAACTTCAGCTGTCGTTTTACTCTTGAACCATGCGCCTGCAGGATCAACTCCCTCTGAGCCAACCAGTGAGACCCGGCTGGACGGAATTGCATTGATGAGTAGCCTCCTTAGTGCTTCAACGTACCATAGTCTCCCTAGTTTCTCTTTCAGCTTTTCCTCAAAGATCCAACAACCTGCCCATTCATCCCAATTAATGGCAGCTTCAGACAGACCGGCGTATTCACGATTTGAGAGTTATGAGCGAGGTTGGGGAGTTCTCCGATACTACAAACAAATCATCGGCCAAGGTTTTAACCTTGTATGATGTAGGGCCCATCGTTATGCCCTGGATTTGCGGATGAGCTCTAATGTTATTCAATACCACCTCAAACTGAAGTGCAAATAACAGGGGAGCTAGCGGGCAACGCTGTCGCAGGGATCGAGTCAACGTGAATTCCTTTAAGAGTCTCTCATTCACCATAACACATGTTGTGGAGAGTGAATAGAGTGTTATGAGCCAACAAATAAAATTCTTTCAAAAACCCAGTCATCTCAACGTAGTAACTACATATGACCAATTGACTCGGTCATATGCTTTCTCCAAATCTAACAGGAGGACTGCAATATCACTTTGCTCGTTATGGATCAACTCAAGCGTTTCGATTGTCGTAACAATATTATCGAAAATCGAACGGCCTTTGATAAAGGCCGCTTGGTCCGGGACTACCAAGTCCGGAAGATACCGTCCCAATCGGCGTGCCAGAACTTTGGCCAGGAGTTTGTAGGACA